TTCTTCAGCTCTCTGACTCCTGTCACTGTGGAACCCATCGTGGTCCATCTGCCTGTTCTGTCTCACGTCAGACGGGTTCTTTGAAGGTTCTTCTTCTTCTCCAACTGTGTGGAATTCCACAAAACGAACACTAGAACCACCTAGAACCTCATCCGTTACCACAGGAACCTCGTAGACGAACACTAGAACCACCTAGAACCTCCTTTGGTACAACAGGAACCTTGTAGACGAACACTAGAACCATCTAGAACCTCCTTTGTTACCACAGGAACCTCGTAGACGAACACTAGAAACACCTACAACCTCCTCCGTCATATGCCACAGGTAATATGTAATACGTCACATGTAATATGTCATATGTCACATGTCACATGTAATATGTCATATGTAATATGTCACATGTAACATGTAATATGTAACATGCAATACGTCACATGTGACATGTCATATGTCACGTCATATGTCATGTCACATGTAATATGTCACATGTCACATGTAATACGCCACATGTAATACGTCACATGTAATATGTCACATGTAATACGTCACATGTAATATGTCACATGTCACATGTAATATGCCACATGCGATACGTCAGATGTAATACGTCAGATGTAATACGTCACATGTAATACGTCACATGTAATATGTCACATGTCACATGTAATATGCCACATGCGATACGTCACATGTAATACGTCACATGTAAAACGTCACATGTAATATGTCACATGTCACATGTAATATGCCACATGCGATACGTCAGATGTAATACGTCACATGTAATACGTCACATGTAATATGTCACATGTAATATGCCATATGTCACTATGTCATATGTCACATGTCACATGTAATATCTCACATGTAATATGCCACATGTAATACGTCACATGTAATACGTCACATGTAATACGCCACATAATATGTCATATGTCACATGTAATATGTCACATGTCATATGTCATATGTCACATGTAATGTCATATGTCATGTCACATGTCACATGTAATACGTCACATGTGACATGTCATATGTCACATGTCATATGTCACATGTAATATGTCACATGTAATACGTCACATGTCACATGCCACATTTAATATGTCACATGTCATATGTCACATGTCACATGTAATACGTCACATGTCATGTCATACGTCACATGTCACAAACACATGTCAGTGGGAACCCTGGAGTTCTTCTCCAGGGTTCAGTGAACATTTTATCAGAGTTTATGTTGAATTGAATCAAAGTTTCGTCTTTTCGTCCAGATGTTCACTTCTCAAACCAGATGTATCTACTCAACTGTATTTATGTATTGATTGTATCATTTAGTCAAAGTTACACCATCATCGTTTCATCCTGCAGGAGCCATTTTGAAACTCTTTTGCGGGGCGTTTGAGGACACGCGGCCAAAAAACAACACAAACACTGAACCAACACGATGATGACGAAGAAGACTTTGTTCCACTAAGAGGAAACTTTCAGCGTCCTTGAACGCACCCACACAGAGCTTTTAAAAAGACTTTCACAGCAGGAAGCCCCGCCCCTTCAGACACACCAGGGCAGGTGTCCAGGTGTGCCAGCGCTCACAGATAAGACTGACACCTGGCGGGATACCTGACGGGATACCTAATGGGACACCTAATGGGCCACCTGATGGGATACCTGATGGGATACCTGATGGGACACCTAATGGGATACCTGATGGGATACCTGATGGGACACCTAATGGGACACCTGATGGGACACCTAATGGGATACCTGAGTCTCTGAAGCACACATTAAACTATTCCAGGTTTCCTTTTCTGTCTCCTCCTTTCCTCCTCATTTCTTTCATGACCACTTTAGTTCCTTACATCCTCCTTTACTTTCCTTCCTTTCCTCCTCTCAGTGCAGCAGAACGTCAAAGCTCAGCGAGTCAGAGCGGTAACCATGGTCACCGTGGATATTTTAGTGAAGATGAAAGCTTTGATTGATTGATTGATTTATTGATTGACAGCTCAGAGGAAAAAAACTGAAATCCGCTTAGTTTATCAGTTTGGCCACAGTGTGTGTGTGTGTGTGTGTGTGTGTGTGTGTGTGTGTGTGTGTTTCAGCCCGTTTCATCACTTTTCTTATGCAACACGCTGCAAACTGGACTCAGAATGTAGAGAAACATCTCCACCTGCTGGACGGTTTACAAACTACCGATGAACTTTGTAGTTTTATGAGTTTAATATTATTAGATTTGAATGTTTCAGCATTTTAAACCACTGAGTGCAGTAATAACAATCACAAAGAGACACAAACAGTTACAAAGAGACACAAACAGTCACAAAGAGACACAAACAGT